CCCTCAACGACCGAGGTGTTCGAGATCCGCGAGCCTGGCCATCACCACCATCGGCCGGCTCACCATCCGCAATCCGGCCTACGTCATGCCCTCCCTACGCAAGACCCTCATCCAACTCCTCACCGAGCTCGGTACCCAAACGCCCCTTCCGTATTTTTCTGAATTATTGCCTTTACGTTCAACTATTTCGTTCATCTCCTTAAATATGTACATACTCATGTATATGTGGTATATATCTATAAATGCAGAATTTAGCGGCGACAGTCGTAATAAGGAGGAGAGCGCGCGGCTGCTGGGGCACCTCATCAGCTCGTCCCAGCGTCTCATCAAGCCCTACGTCGAGCCCATTCTCAACGCTCTGCTCCCCAAGCTCCAGGTTCCACGCAGCATTCCTGACATTCTATTTCTTTGGGTTGAGTTCATTTTTATTTATTTCTTTATTTATTTTGCAATTGGATTGCAGGACACGAACCCGCGGGTGGCGTCGTGCGTGCTGGCGACGCTGGGCGAGCTGGCGACGGTGGGCGGGGCGGACATGACCCCGCACATTCCCCAGCTGCTCCCGCTCATCATCGAGACCCTGCAGGACCAGAGCTCCGCCGTCAAGCGCGAAGTCGCCCTCCGCACCCTCGGCCAGCTCGCCGAAAGCGCCGGTACCACACGCACGAACCGCACACGCACGAACCGCACACACCGCACACACCGCACTCATCACTTAACGGTGTGTGCGGTGCAGGCTATGTGATCGAACCGTTCATACGGTACCCGAAGCTGCTGGAGATTCTCATCAACGAGATCAAGACGGAGCAGGGCGCGTCGATCCGGCGCGAGGTGGTCAAGGTGCTGGGCACGCTCGGGGCGCTGGACCCCTACAAGCACAAGACCATCCAGATCGAGGTGCGGCAGGAGAAGAACCAGGTGGCGGGCGCGGGCGACGGTGTGGGCGGGTCGGCCCACCAGCCGCCCCATGAGGTATCGGGCATGGGCTCCGAGGAGTACTACCTCACCGTGTCCGTCGGCGCCCTCATGAAGATCCTGCGCGATCCCTCCCTGGCCCAGGTAATAACACGACACACGACACACGACACACTACACACTACACACTACACACGGCACACGGCACACGGCACACGGCACACGGCACACGGCACACGGCACACGGCACACGGCACACGGCACACGACACGCACGGCACACACGACGCACACGGCACGACACGCGCGTGAGGCACACATAACTGACATTCGGAGTAATGGTAATCGTGTGCAGCGTCACAGCACGGTGATACAGGCGGTGATGCTCATGTTCGAGTCACTGGGGCTCAAGTGCGTCCCGTTCCTGCCGCAGATCATGCCTCCGTTCCTGGCCTGCATGCGGACGAAGGAGAAGAAGCGGCTCGAGCCACTCTTCAAGCAGCTCTGCCTCCTCGTCTCCATCGCCAAGCAGCACATCAAGGTAACGCTCCACCACCCGCACTTTAGGACGAGCGCGCTGAATGAACGCTGTGTCGTGTGTCGTGTGTGTGTCGTGTGTGTCGCGTTTAGGACTACCTGGACGAAATCTTCTCATTGATCAAGGAGTACTGGAACACCGGTCTTCTCGACCAGATCATCACCCTCGTCGAGGCCCTGTCGCAAGCACTCAATGACGAATTCAAAGGTGCGCATTCACAAACGCACACGCACACGCGCCACCGCACACGCACACACGTGGGCGATGTGCTGACCGGGCGCAC